GCTAGAATAATTTCAATTTTAAAATAGGGTAGTTTGGGATTATAATGCAAAGTATAAATAGATATCCATGAATCTATATTGATAAAAAGAAATGAATGGATAAGTAAATGGCAGAGAAAAGACAATTTTCCAGTGCAAAATTCCAAATAATTTATACAAATACTCCACCCTCAAGGAGGTGGAACATAACTGTCCTCCCATTTAAAGGTAGATTGCACAAAATGAATTCTTCCAAAAAGTGCACTATGGAAAGAAGGAAAAAGAAATAACCTGTGATAGTGGAGAGATCTGACAAACAATACCTTTAACTATAGGGTGACAAGATTGGTATTAGTAATAAGTCACATTGATAATATGTACCCTTGATGTGAAGTAATGAAAATTGGCATTCTGTTGTCTTCCTTCCAGGAAAAAAAATACAACCCCAGTCTCATTATGACAAAAATATCAAATAAATACCAATTAAGAAATATCCTATAAAATACCTGACCTGTACTTCTCAAGATTGTCATGGTCATCAAAAACAAGGAAAGTCTGAGAAACTACATTAGCCAAGAAGAACCTAAGGAGATGCAGCAACTAAAGGTAAAATGGTGTCTTGGTTGGGATCCTGGACTTCAAAAGGGACATTAGTAAATGTGTAGGAAATTTGAATTATGTGTGGACTTTAGTGAAGAATAATATGTCAATATTGGTTCATCAATTGTAACAAATATACAATATTAATTTTATATATTAAAATAAGAAAAATGGTGTGGGATATTTGGAAATATCTGTACTATCTTCTCATTTTTTCTGTGCATCTAAAATTTACAAAAATAAATTTTAATAAAAAGAACAAAAACAAGGACCTGATGATGTGCATACTATCAGCACTCCTACTCTATGGGAGAGTAAACAAAATCACGGAGAAAACAAATTCCTCCCTTCCAGCGGTCAAAGCTGCAGTTTGAACCAGGGTGACTTGAATGTGTGTTCTCATCACTGCCCTCTACCACTGTGCTTCCCCCATCCTTAGTAAGGGCTGTCATGACTGCAGAGAAAATGAGCTCGTTCTCACTCTCTGCTGACCTTCACCCCACCTATCTGCTTTGGAACAAGTGGGCTGAAGCAGGTTGTGGGCAGAAGTCTGCATAGCCATAACCAGGAGTTCTTGTTTATCTATAAAACTACTACAGATTCATATCAGGCTCTACAGCCGACTTGCTTCAAGTTCAAAGGTATTTACCTGGAGTCTTTGAAAGGACCTGCAGGGCCCCTGTCACCTCAGGTGCCCAGGCCACGCACGCCTTTTCATCTCCCCTCATCTCTGGCTCTTAGCTGTCCCGTTGGTTCCTCTCACCAGCCAGACAGTCACTCCTGCGCAGCACATAAAGGACTATGCTCACTCTCTGCCAATAGCTGGTCCACAGAAATCCAGGACTTCCCACTGTCTTTCCTGCCATAGCTGCCTTTCCTTTTCTGAGGTATCTCTACCTATAAGGAACACAGTGGACATTCTGAAGGATCATTTGAAGCCTCTGTACTCCCCCTTGGATTCACTCCCTGTTAGGTTGGAAGTGAAGAAGCAGGCATGTGCAGACACACACACACACACACACACACACACACACACACACACACCCTGAGAGCAAAGCTCAGCTTTCTCTAATGAATTCTGTTCACAAAATCTAACTCCTATACTTTGATCCCAATTGATCTGACTAGGTGATTCAGGAGTCAGGAAACCATTCTTAATCATTGCTTTTAGAATTCCTGTATTTTTTCCTCACATCTCATTTTGGTAAACAGCATCTGTTGCTTCAGTTGGAACTTCAATTTTAAGGCACTGAGATAGATAGATAGATAGATAGATAGATAGATAGATAGATAGAGATATCAATAAATATTTGTGAGATAGCTTAGCCATGGACAATAATAAATAGAAATCTACTAACTTTATATGTTACACTCTAACTAGATGATAAATTTCTCAAGGGCTATAATATCTTCTACATCTTTGTAATGCACACACACACACACACACACACACAAACTTTTATCTTAAAATTGACAAGAAATACTGGTAGCTGACCTGGAGATGTATCCATATATACTAAATTCTACAAAAGCAATCAAGCATGAATCTGAGGTTAGGGCATAAAATTTGGAGCCAGAATTTGAGACTGTGGGTTTCCAGCTAGGTCACTAGTAGCCATCTGCAAAGCTGGCATCACAGACCACAGAAAGATCCAGATCAGACAGCCAACGCTGAAGATCAATGGGATGAAAAATGTTGCCTTCAAAGCAAACTGACATCCAAATATACTATCATAACACATCATCCAGGTAAAATATTATTTTGTACCTCCTAATTTATTTGGTTCTGTAAGAAAAACATTTTTAGTTGGAAGATTGGTCCCCCTAGACTTGGCAGGCACAGAACTTAGAATTCAAGTGAAATGCATTATTTAGACCCACAAGCTAGCAAACCAACTCCATTCATACCTAAATTGGTAATAATGAAAATATTTCAGTTCTGAACTCTTCTTCCTTGACCAGGGATGCAGTTTTTCTCATACAAGATGGCCCAAATTGTTCACCCTCTGTTCAAAGACTGACAGGGATCCAGGACTGTGGGCAACCCACTGTGCACAGAAAATGGATTGATGGGTACAACAGACTAATCGCTCATTCCACCCCAAGTCCTCACCATAGCTGGTATCTTCCCTTCCACACTTTGAATATTCCAATTGGCACTCCTCCACCCCGTGCCCTGACACACACACACACACACACATCCTCTTTCCTTCACCCTGGCTCTAGGCTTACCTCACCTTTGGGAATGGAAAACTAAATATAAGCATGTATCAGAGTCTTTTCTTCTCCATTGAGTCCATCAGCATTGAGTCTTTGTGTCTGCTTCTGTGTGGAACAGGAAAGGGAAAACAGCCCAGGGTACCCATGAGGCCTCAAAAGGAGAAAGATATACTAAACATAGAAAATATACCAATTAATCCTTTAAGCTACAGTCCCACCATAAATACTTTCCAACCAATATCCTATGACCTTTGCAAAAACCATTACCCTTATTTACCTTCCATGTCATGTTCTTTAAAAGCAAAATAGTTTGGGGAGGGGGAGATACAATTTGAAAATGTTCAACCAAGAAAGAAAAGAAAGATTAATAGGAAGAATCAAAATTTTGGTCAAACAAGAGACATTAGCAAGTTAGACAAAGATGATGTCATGGTCAGGGGCAACAGAGGAGGGTATCTCATGCAGAGTAATGTCACCATTAGTGGCCAATGACCAGGCAAGGGAAGCAATCATCAGCCAAGAGAACCATGCCTGGTGGTAATCCACACCAAGGAGGCACATTGTTACTGGTTGAGGAGAATGGGCACTACAGCCCTGTGTGGATCCACTAGTCCTAAAAGAACAATTAGAGCTTCTAGAAACTGAATATTTGAACTGAATCAGTAGAGAAAGATGTGGATTCTAGAATAATTCTAAAGATGATCCAATACCCAGTTCTTCTCTGAGAAATTTTTAATTGATCTGTTTTTTAGATTCCATGGTGAATTTTAAATCTGCTTTAAGAAAGTAAGCAAAGGAAGGTTAGGGCAGTAATCCAAAATCTTCATCCACAACTCTCACCTCAAAGAGCATGAAAATCTTTTTAGACCTACACAAGTGATATGAAATTGCTTTGGATTAAGATATTGATGTTAGAAATTGTGTTTCCATCCAGAAAGTTTTATAATTTCTTGCTTATAAAATATCTCCAATTAATATTATAATTTTTCTTTTAATGATGCCAGGTGTCCCTTTGGGGACAAAGCATGTTCAAAAGGCTTGTAACCAGCATATTGCTCTGTCTCAGCTCAGTGGCATATGAACATGAAGCAGTTTCATTTTTCTTTAATTACTGCCTTCACCCAAGTTCAAACCAATCTGCCCTCTGCATCCCTTAATGACATCCTAGGCAAATTTCAGAACTTTGACATTTATTTTCCATTATTAAAACTCAGTCCAACTGAAACTTTAATCTAAAACTTGATACCACATCCTCTCCTCCCTTTAGCACAGTTTTGTGCTGAGACCTGGGGAGTTGAGAGAGGAGGGGACACAGAGGCTCCGAGTTGCTTCCTAGGCACTCTTGTAAGTGACTCAACCTTCCACTGTGGCCTATAAGCCCACAGGAGAAGCCTGCATCCTTTATCTTGATTACACTGTCTCCCAATTCTCCTTCCTCTGCTCAGGGAGGTACATGGAAAATCAGCAAATCATCCTACCAGGGAACAAGATGCCAATCTCCTTTTATGAAAGTCACCTCTAATTTCTACAGAAATTTTCTTAGTGTCTCCTCTCACGTGGCTTGGGGAAGAGGATGTATATCTTACTCCTCCCTCAAGGGAAAGAGAAGAAATAACTTCTCAATACAAGCCCAACATGCCAATGTCTCCTCTCCCCCCTCCTCCATCTTTATCCAGTCATAGTCTTATTTGTGCTGCTATGACAAAATACCTTACTCCAGGCATTTTTAAATTTTTTTTAAATTTCATTTATTCTAATTTGTTATATATGACAGTGGAATGCAATTCAATTCATATCACACAAATAGAGCACAATTTTTCATATCTCTGGTTGTACATAGAGTCACACCATTCATGTTTTCATACATGTATTTAAGTCTGTCTCATTCCACCGTCTTTCCTACCCTCATTCCCCCTCCCTTCCCCTCCCTCCCCTTTGCCTTATCTAAAGTTTGTCTATTCCTCCCATGCTCCCCCAACCCATATCCATTATGAATCAGCATCCTTATATCAGAGAAAACATTCAGCATTTGGTTTTGGGGGATTGGCTAACTTTACTTAGCATTACATTCTCCAACTCCATTCATTTACCTGAAAATGCCATGATTTTATTCTCTTTTAATGCTGAGTAATATTCCATTGTGCTTGTATACCACAGTTTCTTTATCCATTCATCTACTGAAGGGCATCTAGGTTGGATCCAAAAATATGGAACACTTCATGAATTTGCATGTCATCCTTGCACAGGGGCCATGCTGATCTTCTCTGTATAGTTTCAATTTTAGTGTATGTGCTGCTGAAGCAAGTACTCCAGGCAATTTATTAAGAACAGAAATGTATTTCTTATAGGTCTGAAGGCAGAGAAATCCAAGATCAAGGCCCCAGCATTGATTGTGGCTCAGCAGTAGAGCGCTCGCCTAACACGGGCGGGACCCGAGTTCCATCCTCAGCGCCACATACAAATAAAGGCATTGTGTTGTGTCCATCTACACCTAAAAAATAAATGTTTTTTTTTTTTTTTTTAAAAAGGCCCCAGCATTCAGTGTTGGTGAGGGACTTCTCACTACATTCTCAAATGGCAAGGGGAACAGACACTGTGTCCTCACATGACTGGCAGAAGTTGGAAAGCCAGAAAGGACTCACTAGTTCCCTTGAGCCACAGGTACTAACTCCATTCCTGAGGATGGAGTCCTCATGTCCTAATCATTTCTACACGCCGGCCTTTAATATCAACACATGGGGTCTTAGTTTTCAACATGAGAATTTTTAGAACCCCCTCCCTGGTTGTATACAGACGTGGGGGTGGGATGCAAGCAGTAGGTGGTAGAAGGAACTCTTCCTTGCTTCCTAATAGGCCCGAAAGTGTGGCTTCCCAGATCCTCCAAGGCTTAGGGCTCTCTTCACAATGAAAGGAAGTTTGCACCTGTTATTTTTTACTATTGGCCCTAGGGCCCATTAGGGGTTTTAGGGAAAAGGCCACTTTAGCAGATTTCAACAGAAACGCACAAACTTAAAAAAAAAAACAAGAAATATTTTTTGTCTTTTTTTGTCCACAGAATCCAGAGCACAAATCTCTTTTTCAGGAATGAATAAGACATGTTTGTTTTATAGATAGAAATTCCCTCCTGTCCTAAAAGCTCATTTATCCTGTGAACAGATCAGGAAGGAAAAACTGTTTCATAAGCTGAGGAAACTTAACAGCTGTTGGTGGGGGGAAACAGACCCCCAGATCTTCAGGACCTTGGTGCCCTCCTCTGACACCCGCAACCAATTGTGCTAGAAATTCCTGAGCCTGTGGAAGACTCCATTTTCCCTCCTCCTCTAGTCTCCACTTAACCCCAAAAGTCAGTCAGTGAGGCACTAACTGGAGGACAGTCTGAAGTCCATAAAGTGCAGATCTAAGAGGGAAAGAGAGTTGCTATCAGCAGAGGATAGGTGTTCACAGTAGACCCCTAAGGAGATGTGAGCTCCGTTTGACAAGGTGATACAGAATAGAGGACTATTGTATCCAGGGCGCTCTATTCTCTCCCTTCACAGCTCTGCAGCCCCAACAGTCACTCCGTGAACTGACTTGTTTGTAGTCCCTACTGTCTGCTGTGCAGAGACGCAGAGAAGAGAGCTGGTTCCTACTCCCAGGCTGCTGCAAGTGAAGATGCACACTCCACCAACAATCCCCATCAGCACGTTTACTGATGTCACAGCCACAGAATAAACCTTTGTAAACCAAATTAATTTCAAAGGTTTCCTATTTAGCAGAGTATTCAGCTATGTTAGGAAAGAAGGCAGGCAGGCAAGTTAGATGAACAATGGTTACAAAAGAGGAGGTGCCAAGAGCAGGCTGGTGGGGCTGGGGAGGGGCTGGAGCTGCCACCCTTGAGTGGGAACACTAGTGGTATCTTGCAGAGGTTCCACCTCCAAGGATATAGCCAACGAGGAGCTCAAGATGAGAGGAGCACGCTAACAATCTTGCACCAGCTTTATGGTCAGAAATAAAGCTCTCTCACTCCTGAAGGCAGGAGGCATACCAAGTTTTCTTCTTTTAAAAAAGCCTGGAAAAGATGCAGACTTGCATTATCTGATGAGGGCCAGCAAGATGGCAAACTGCGCCTACCAAAGACCAAAGTTTGCTTGATTTGATCTGGTATCTAACCTGGATAGTGATAATAAGCAATAACTACACTACCACTATGTAGCAACTCTGAAATAGCTCCCCATCCTGCTCCCCATTTTGCAGATAAGGAAACTGAGGCATAGAGAAATTAAATGACTTGTCCATGTTTACACAGTTTGTAAGTGAAGCCAGGATATAGACCCTATAGATCCAGAGCCTGTATCCTTAATCATCTGCCTGCAGTCTCTGTTGAACATGAGAAAAGTGCCCCACCCCTCCACAACTCCCAAGATAGAGGGCTTCCTCTGTGTGCTCACTATTACCACTATAAGTTTCCTGTACTGATTTGCAGCAAAAGGCAGGAAGTTGGGGAAATGGCCTCCTCTGCAGCCTTTCACAGAGGGAAAATTCAGGTTGGCTTCTGGGATTTTCAGGAAGGAGAGAGTACATTGCTTCTATATCACTGCAGTTCCCCAAAATTCCTTGCTTTTAACCCAGATGTCAGTGCAACCCCTTTGTTGTTATGCAAAGGGTTGAGGCACCACCTAGTGGTTGAAATTAAAAATACTCCCAAAGGAATGTCACTGGTGAATCCCAGGCAGAGAAAACAGTGATCTGAGGCAAGAAAAGGGAGCAGAAAGCAAAATTTACTCATGCTGGAGGCCTTCTTTGTGCATTCCCTGTTGTATACAGCATCAAAACATGTATTTTTTATGCCAGCCTGCTCAAGGACTCAAGTTTTACCCAGTGTGGCACTCACAAAACAAGAGCTAGAATCCAGGAGACCTAAGTCCCAGGCTCCAGTCACTTACTCTGCAGTAGGATGTTCTCTGAAGTCTCTCCTCGGGATTTAGAACCATCCTGGATATATAGATCCTACTCAACATCTGGGGGCAACTTAGTGTAGAGGTTGGTGGCAAAGAAGGAGCAGAGAAAGAAGAAAAACATGGGGAAAGTATTTGTTCTCCCCAAAAACAGTTGCTGCTGAGTTTATGCAAAAAATCAGAGAAATGGAAGGAAGCAGTGGCACCTTTGCAGGCCTGTGCTCTCTTCCTTGCCTTCTCAGGAGCTGTTGTTCGTGGGTGTCTACCCTTACTTGTCAGGTTTTAAGGAGCAGCCCAAAGGGACCAGACCAAGCAAGTTTACCAGAGCACTTCCATGGGAGAGAGATTGGCAGGTCAGGTCCATGTATCCTCAACGCCCCAGAGAACTCTAGTCTAGATCATGCATGTGGAGGGAAAGAGCTATGGGAAAGAAAGGTAGCCAGGAGGTGTGATCTGAGGGGACAGAATTAAAAACAATTTCTAGGACTCTGGGCAGCAAAGGTCAGCCTTTGGCTTCAGGTGCAGATGAGACCATTAACTGATGAAGCCAATTCATGATGATTCAGGGTAGCTAATTCTACTAGGACCTAGTCCCAGGAAACCAGGCAGCTAACTACTCAGCCCCACCTTCCCTCTAGAACACTGGGGATGTAGAGATATCCCAATGATTCAAAGGATCAGACTGGAAAGGACTAAGGGGACAAGAACAGATTCAGAAAGCAGCCAAATCTAGTATCAACCAGGTGTGCCAGGTTGGATGCTGGCCAGTCTGTACTAACTTGGTCCCAAGTCTGCTCATGATAGCATTGTGCTAGGGGAAAAAGAACCCTTGACCTTCAGGAATCTATTCTGGGATGTTTTCTATGAATGAGTCTCCAGATGTTCCTTTCTATATTTGGGCTCTGCTACATCTACATTGCAGGCATCCCAGTCCCTACAAGGCTGCAATATTCATGCTAAGACAGAGAATGCTATTTCTCCCACTTGACCTTCAGGAATCCTTGCCCTTCAGGCACATCTGGAATGACAGTTTACTCTTTCACCTTCCTATTAGTCGGCACAGTCAAGTCCCTAAAGTCTCGATACCCATGTTCTTTATTGTCCATTTTGGTTCACCTTTACATTCAATTTCCAGAGTTGGTTCTATCCTTAGGGAGAATGTAGCTTCTTTGCCTGTTGTTAAGGTGAGCTCAAAGGTTAGTCTCGCCAGTGGCCATATAGCTTTACTGGTCAGAGTCATGTCAGGTCACTCTTTACTCCATGTCAGATCCCTGCCACAGCTACCAGACTATGGTCTCTCCCTATTGCAAATACTCAGGTTATTGAGAAACTATTTAAACTTGTTCAGGATAACAGTGTCAACCCTTTATTCATTTGTTATTTGGAGCTGATTAGCATGCCCTAAAGAACAGTGAATGAATGGGCCTTCCTCTGTATAGATTAATGTATCACTTTCCTATTTATATTCATTTTGTATTTGAAAGGCTAAGCTGCTATAACAAAGAGGCCCTGAATTACAGTGCCTTAAAAATAAAGTTTATTTCCTCTCATGTTAAAGTTTCAAAATTTGCCAGCTATTGTACTAGGCACAGTCCTTCATGTACACTTCCATTTTTTTCTTCAATACCTATTAAAGAATTCTGTATTCAATAAATACTTGAGCACTATTGTTTAAAGGGTTCTGAGTCTTATTTCACAGGAGATACATACTCTGGTCCTTCTCAGAACTCATGACTTAATGATAAGACAGAGCAAATTAACATGTGTAGTTCAGAGGAGGGAAACAAGCACAGCAGAGAGATCTTTAGGGATTAAATGAGATGAGAGAACAGGTAAGTCTTCACAGAAAAAGAAATGCCATATAAGATAGAATTTGAAGAATAAATAAAATTTCAGTAGGTAAGGAAGAGAAAAAAAGTTACCATTGAACCATGAACCAAAGCCTGAAGATTAAAAATATAGGAAATCCAGGAGCAAATGGGAACAACAGTATAGGATATTATACAATAACGAGGGCATCAGCCAGCATCTCAATGGTGGGGGGCGGGGGTTCTTCTTCCTGCCCAGGAGAATGTAGCCACCTTAAACTTAAAGTCTCAAATGATTAATAAATAACAAAACACAAATATTCAGAAATATATTTACAAAAGCAAAGCCCCTGATAGATCTAGTCCACTTGGGTGCTGGAACTGAACAAAGAAAAGATGGCTCCCATGGTTTATTTAAGGGGATACATCAAAGGCAGGGATGAGGTTTCAAGGGCAGAGTCTTGCTTTCTGATGTCTAGTAGTCAACAGGTTGATTGGCATCTTCTCAGGTCACACCCATCCCATGTGCTATGTGGGCCACGGCAGAGCAAGATAGAAATTCACAT